AAACACAGAGGCATTTACAAATATTGGATAGGGCAATGACTGTTAACATTAATGTAAACATTTTTTAAAATATTAATTCTAGAAATGGAGAGAACATTGTGAGTTTCCATTTGGCATTTTGCACTGGCTTTGTTAGTCATTCACTGATCATTTACTGGATCCAGACTTCTAAACTAGTATATATTTGGCATATCTGGATCCAGATATCTAAACTAGGACAGTTGATGTAACTTTCAGTCAAAAGGTAAGTGTCATGCCTCACAGTAAACATGTAAGAGGTTCTCTCTACATGGTTCAAAGACAAGACAGTTTACTCTTGTTTAATTTGTATCTGAATCATCTGTCCAGGTTATTATCCCAAATATACATATCGCCATGTTCCAGAATTCTATAGAACACCACACCACACCACACCTATAGCACGTCAGAAAAACATCCATTCTTCCATGCTATGCTGAGTTTAAAGGAAGTGTGACAGACACTTGTAGGTGTGCACGTATTTTGTCCTTGAAATGAATTTGTCTTAGTGGCATTGGAAGAAAGCCATGCTGTCCCTAAACCAAGCATCGAGGGAGAAATCTTCTAATGAAGATTGGAAGAAACACAGAAGGCACAGCTACAAGTTTGACAAGTTAGGAATTATCAAAGTTGTTATTTTCTGTCATTCCTGGTTGCACACATTTATTTTATTCAGGGACTATGTTGCTGGGCTGTCAGAGAGCATTGTCTGAGGTTATATGGAGAGAGAGATGTGTTGAATACCTTTTAATAGATATCATCTGTCTGGGGCCAAAATTTGAATCATGCTTTTCCGTCAACGAGACAATTTTAAATCTTGATAGCATGCTGCCATCAAGGAGAATTTTAATGAATTGAGGGCTCTGATCACTTCAAGTGTAACTAACTTGTCCAAGCAGCCTCCCCTTGCACTGAAATCATACTCATCCTAAATCTGGTTACTTTTTCTGAGTCAGTGAAGCACCTCCAAGGATGGAAGTAGAAATTATCTTTCTAGGGATTGTGACTAAGTTTCAGTTGCGTTATAGGAAAGGGGTCCCAATCCAGACCCCAACAGAGAATTCTTGGATCTCGTGCAAGAAGAAATTCAGGGCAAGTCTGCAGTGCAAAGCAAAACCCAGTTTACTAAGAAAGTGGAGAAAGTACAGCAACTCCCATAGACAGTAGGGTGCTCCCCAAAGTAAGCGGAGGAACATGTCCAGCCCTAGGTATAATACTTGTTTATATAGGATAAAAAATATCATAGGGAAATGTGCTCTGCTACAAGGGTTTGTGATAAAGGATTAATTTTCTTAATCACTACATTTTGCAAAAAATCAATATTATCTTTAAAGCAAAATTAGGAATGCTTCTGTTCAATATATCAGGATATCAGGACACTCCCAAGTCTGGGTCTGTTTAGTAAACATTATCAATCTGTTCCATTAACCTTAAACACCTAGAGGCTAGGACTATCTAACTTTATGGAAATGCAGCCCAGCAGGTCCCAGCTTCCTTTTTCCTAGCCCTCACTCAAGGTGGAGTGGCTCTGGTTCGAACGCCTATGACAGTTTTGCCACTTGCATGCTGTTTATCTGCAAATCCTGGGCAGGTCATTTTGTACACAGGACAGTATTATGGAAGGTGGACAGTGAAGAGGAGGTGGCTTCACTCTCCCAGAAGGAAGGAGACAAACATTGGCTAACCACCGACAAGGTGTCTAGGCGCAGTATTAGGTACCTGCTACCTGCTTGATGCCAGTTCCTCATCCTAATGAATGAGCAGAGCAAATGGATATCACCAGCCTTACGGAGCATGATTCATGCATGCACCAGTGAGAGTCCTTCTTCATTTCTGTGACCCAAGCTAATGATTTTTACATGAATCAGGGGAGGATCACGGCAGCCCTCTTTAGAAGAAAATTCCAAAAAAAGATTGAAAGAAAGGATTGCAATGAAGGCAGGAATGAATAAAGAAATGAAGGGAGAAGAGAGGAAGAAAGAGGGAGGGGAGAAAGGAAAAGAAGGACGCAAAGACAGGAAGAAGGGAAGAAAAGAGGGAGGCAAGAAGGAAGGAAAAAATAAAGAAAGGAGCAAGTGTAATAAAGGAACAGAAGAAAGGCAATATGATCGATGAGCATTTTTCTAACTAGACGTTTTGCTAAAGGGCACCTTGGCCAGCCCTAGATTAACAAGAAAGACAAAACTGAAAATACCTTCCACCCAGGACGCTTGAATTCTCCAGCCCTTTCTCCATGAAGCCTCTGGTCCAAAGCATGACCTGTGGAACCCTTTTGTTTTGCCCAGGGTATTTGGCCTTCCAGGAAGGCCCTATTTAAGCCAGGCATTGATTTATAGTCCTTCCCTCTGTTCCTTTCACAACATAAGAAGTCCCCCAGGGTGCCCTGCTTGGGGGAGCCCGAAGACCCTCCTAGGAAGACTTGTAAATATCCTGCGTCAGGAAATCCATTTTCTCCCTGTAACAAAGAGGGCACAAAATGGAATCCTGGCTCCATGCTTTTAACAGCACGTGCTCCCCTCTCTATTGCCAAGTTTCTGTTTCATGTTATATCTCAACATCTAAATCCTCCAAGAATTATTGTAAAACCTGCTTGTGGTTGAGAGGGAGCTTGTCTGGCTCACTCCGCTCCGTAGCCAGTGATAATGAATGGGTCAGCATAATTACCGTGTTTCCTCACACAGGCAGCCAGCTGCTCTGCCAGATTGTGAATTTTTCATTTTCTTTATTTCAAAATCCAGGGTGCTCCTCTGAAAACTTAATAGTTGAACTCTGGCAAGACAGATTTGGAGTCAAAGCCATTCCCACTCATTTTCCTCCCAGTCCTGAAACAAGTGTCTCACCTCTCACTACTTCTGGGCTTTTATGATATTAGGATTTACTGGCGCTCCCCATTAAAACCCAGCACCTCTCTGGAGTTCCAAGCATACCAGTTGCCATGTGATCCAGGAAACTCAGGGGCTAGGAGCTGGCAAAAAATTTAAATAAAACAGCATGATCTGTCTTTAGCAAGAATAAAAGAGTTAGAAATAACCTTTATGGTCCTCTCAGATACAAACAGAAAGACAGCATCATTCTCGGTTCTACAGTCCTGATATTTTACCCACATCATGGTAGAAAGTCATGGTAGAATCCATAAAATAGGAAGGCTGTTGGATTTTTTAAAACATACAGATTTCCAGATAATAGCCAGTTGGTCTTCACTTTAGTTGGGTTCAGAGGTTTTATTTGGACCCTTACAATTGCATCAGTAATTCGGAGTGGCTTCTGTAGAGAACCCCACCCATTCCCTTCACCCACCACGTACATACAAACATATGGTATCTATGCATGTAGGCGTAATTCTTTCAGGTCTAAGTGCCCTCCGTGACCACCCCGTCCAACCTCCTCATTAGCAGCTGGGGCCTCTATTGAGGCTCCCCATGCACATTTTTTTCCTTCCAACTCTTTTCCCTTTTTCCTCCTTCTACAACACACACCTGGGTCCATGCATCAGTGCACACGGAAGGGACCCTGAACGATAGAAGGACATGAGGGGAATGTTTCCACTCCTGAAGCCCATGGTGGGAAAGGGACAACTCTTCTCGGCAGTTTGGATAGAGGGTGGAGACAACTTTAACATTAAACACAACCACAACCCCTGCCTTGTCAGAGGTTCGCTCTTCTGCAGAAAGCCTGGTAAAGGAGTTTGGTGTGCTGGGTTAACTAAGAGCACTTCCTTCATGGTGGGCCTTCTGAGCCTTTACCGTGGCTCTCCCTGGGACAGGGACTTCCCAAAGGCATTTTTTTTCAGACAAGCATCCTCTGTGTACACAGTTTGGGAAACACGGCCTATTGCTTAGTCAGATGGGACAAGCGAGGTCCGTATGGTGAGAGTACTGGGAGGGTCAGAGAAGTGAACTGAGCTTGAAGGCAAAAGTGATTTCCTGGCCCACGGGCCCTGATGAGTTAGGATTTCCCTGAGATGCGAGGAAGGCCATCCCAGGTAGAGGAAACAGCATTAGTTATCAGGGGCTGGGGTAATCATCAGGCTTAATTCCCTTCTTAACTCCTCACCTCCTCATCCCGCTCAGACAGTTCTCCCCCAGGGAAGAAATCCCTGCCCACTTTTTTTTTTTTTTTTGAGATGGAATCTCATTCTATTTCCCAGGCTGGAAGGCAGTGGTGCCGTCTCAGCTTACTTCAACCTGTGCCTCCCAGGTTCAAGCAATTCTCCTGCTTCAGCCTCCCGAGTAGCTGGGACTGCAGGCATGTACCACCACGCCTAGCTAAATTTTGTATTTTTAGTAAAGATGGGGGTTTCACCATATTGGTCAGGCTGGTCTCAAACTCCTGACCTTGTGATCCACTCACCTCAGCTTCCCAAAGTGCTGAGATTGATCCACCGCGCCTGGCCACCACATTCTCTTTTTAAGAGTCGCGGTCCCAGACATCTCCCATATTTGTAATTATGGTGGTTGCCTTTGTGTTTAAATGCCGCACAAGAGTTTAGCAGGCTTGTGAGATATTGGTAATGAGCTATTTCTCAGGGCATGTGTGCTTCCTGCAGTCATGACACATACATGTGTCAATGGGAACACTTCAATTAGAAGTTTTACAAAGGGATGTCTGTACATAAAGGAAACTGAAAAATAAAAATAGGATGGGGGAAAGCTATGAATAAAAAACACTCATGCAGTTTGGCCCCAGAGAGAACTGCTAGCACGTGGAAAGGTGTGTATATGTGTATATAAATATGTTCATATCAGCATATGTACATGTAAATATGTTTATATACGTGCACACATTCATACACATGTACACATGCATATTCACGTAAGTATATTTCACACACAAATACACATGTACATATATACATAGGTATATGTAATGGTTGAGAAGACATCACACATCTTGCAATCTGCCCTTTTAAAAATGTTTGTTGGTTGGGCGTGGTGGTATCTGTAATCCGAGCACTTTGGGAGGTAGAGACAGGAGGATTGCTTGAACCCAGGATTTCAAGACCAGCCAGGGCAACGTAAGGGAGATCCCATCTCTACAAAACATTAACAAATTAGCCAGGCCTTGTGTCACCCACCTATCTGTGGTCCCAGCTACTTGGGAGGCTGAGGGAGGAGGATCACTTGATCCCTGGAGGTCAAGAGTGCAATGGTATGTGATCGCACCACTGCACTCCAGCCTGGGCAACAGAGCGGGTCCCTGTCTCAAGTAAGTTAAACTACCTGTGCAGTAAGCTTTTTATCCTGTTATTTAGAATTCTCTGCAAATGTTTGTCAGTCACTATATTCTCCTGGGCTAAGGGCCCACTGTGTTAACTCCATCCTCTCTGGAGTCCATCCCTAGCCTCTGTGCTGCTCTTTGCTTTTTAACCTTCTGACTCCAGGAAGTGGGTGAGGTCCTGCTGGGTCCCTGTGCAAGGACAACGGTTTTGGAGACGGTTTCCTCTACGGCAGGATGTGCATCTGACGACCTGTACTCTCTTTCTCTCTCTCTCTCTCCTCTCTCTCTCTCTGTCTCCTCTCGCCCCGCAGTGCCAGGCTTCCCGTATCCAGCTGCCACCGCCGCGGCAGCCTACCGAGGGGCGCACCTGCGTGGCCGCGGCCGCACCGTGTACAACACCTTCAGGGCCGCGGCGCCCCCGCCCCCGATCCCGGCTTACGGCGGGTAAGTGGGGCAGCCTCCAGGGCGGGCCTCCCTGCACCAGTTCTCCCTCCCCAGAGGCACGGAGCTGTTTGCCAATGCATGACGGTCTTGACTCCCCCCAGCCCCCCACCTCCCACCCCAGAACCGCCCCCAGCATGCAGCCCTACGCGCACCTGCAGTGGAGCACCTTGCTAAGAGTATTGAAAAATGAGTGTAATTTGTCCTGTCATGGTTAGTGCCTTTAAGCATTCTACATGTCACATGTTGTTATGTAAATTCTCTTTGAAACTGAATGCTGGAGAACAGAGAAATGGTTACAGCCAAAGATGTATTTCTGATGATTGCAAACATCTGGTTATTAAGGAGGTTGGACCACATCTGCCCCTTGAATTCCTCCACGGAAAGACTCAGTGAGGTTTTCATACATAAACATCACTGGGGTGGTATTGCCTCCTCCCCAGAGATATCTTGAGCTTTAATTCATGAACCTTTGCTTGCAAAGAGAAAATTAGTTGTGGAGTCACATGCAAAAAAGCAAGAGTTAATGAAATTGGAGTTAAGATGCATTGTAGTTCCATTTTCCAAAACGGCATTTGTCTTCCTTTCTCCTCTGTGGGGAAAAGGCAGATTGCTCTGTTTCCCATTGCCAATTTGCACCTCCTGTGCATGGACTTTGATACTGCCAGGTGAATATTGAGGAATGGCGTCAATGCTCAGTAAGAGAGATGAAAAACGGTACTGATATGTTGGGTGCCAGTCTTGAAATGCTAGTCCCTCTGCCCTCTTTTAGGGATCTTGCTAGAATATCCCTGCACCTCTGCAGTTGGGGATGCCTCCACAGCCGTGGTCCTAGACCAGAGCACATTTGCAAGGTCTGGAGACATTTTTGGTTGTTGCAACAGGAATGGAGAGATGCTGTGTCCTCTACTGGGTCGAGTCTAGGGATGTTTCTCAATAGCTCCCAGCAACAAAGACTTATCAGGCTCAAAGTCAGTCATGCTGCAGCTGAGAAACCCTGCTCTATGTTCAATTCAGCAATCCCCAAAAGGGTCTGGCAGGAGGCTTTCCTGGCCAGCGACTGACATTCTGACTGGTAGAAGAAAACAGGGCTGCATTTAGGACTGTGTGAAAAGGGTTAATGTCCTTTGTATAGCTGTTGCTTGTAAATCCTTCAGAAAATCTAAATTAGCCTAGATCATCTATTATACTCATGACAGAAGGAAACCCTTTTTTTCAGTGCCTGTCCATTCTAAAACAGAGCATCTGAAACGTTTCAAAAATAAACACAGTAAAACAAAGAAAGAAAGAAATGAGCCTATGTAAAACTATCAGGAAGGGAAAATTAAGGAAAAGTAGTAAGACAATGTCCATCAAGTTTCCTGTGTCATTAGAATTGGGTCAACTCTGAGCTTCTTGGACAAAACAAGAGCGCTCTCTCTCTCTCTTTATATATATACATATATATATATATGTATATATATATATATATATATATATATATCTCCTAACTGAAAAGATATTGGATAGTAACAAACCAAGAATGAATCGGCTATAAATTCTCCCTCATGCCTATCAAATGTATTTGCATGTCTTAAGCCTTATATATATATGACCATGCAATGTAAGGAATTGTTGATATAATTTTTATTCTCTGGTCTAACAGTACTGAGCCCATTTTATGGATACAGAAATGCAAAAATAAAGATTTGTTATTCCCAAGATCATGTAATGGGTTATGAAGGAAAAATAACGTCCCATGTTACCTCTGGGCTCCTCTAATTAGTAAGGCAAGATTCGTAAGCTATAAATGCAAAATTGCACACACCACATTCGTTTGTCTGAAAATTGTTCTCAGTACATGGCAACTGAAGCTTTTTGGTATATCTACCATCAGTATCGCACTACTATATTAAACAGCAAAAGAAATAAAAGGAAAATTACATAGCTTATCCTCACACGAACAATTTGTAAACATCTCAGAATAACACACCTGCTGTAAAATCAAAATTAGCTAACTTATAATGAACATGCTCTTTGTTGGGAATAACCATGCATAACTAATTAGTGCCATGTTCACCAGGGAGAGACACAGGCATTTCCAAATGATCAAACAATGTGTTTGTCACTACTTGGGATGGAAATTAATTTTAATATTCCAGCAATATCTGTGATCAGTTTGGTGATAAAGGTGGATTGTGCCTCTTTGCTGATAACTGTATGGCTGGAATTCTGAAGCCATACTTGGAGGGAAGATCAAATTCTCAACAGAGAAGTAGTTATCCCCAGAAGGATTGGGGTTGCAGGCGTTCATGTCTGCAACAATCTGTTAGAGCAAGTTGCTGGTCAAAAAGAAGGAAATTCATCTGGTTGCTTCAGTGGATTATAAACTGCCGGGAGTGAATTGGCATGGAATGAAAAACTTTAAGCCCAACGTTTTAAAGGTTCCCTTTCTCCTCAGGAATATAAAGCTCAGGCTGCAGGAGATGGCAGGGGGATGGTTCCTCTTCAAAAGGAACACAGCAGAGTGGGACACAGGCCAAGAGTTGGCTGGAAGATTGAGGACCCCTGTCTTATGTTCAGTGAAAGCAAATAGCAGAGGTTGGAAGTACTCATTGTCGGGAAGTAGCATCATTAGGATTCAGGTGGTCCAGAGAATATGTGTTTCCTGTAGCCTTTTGTCTCTAAAGTCCTTTGGAGGAAAACTTCTAGGTTTGAGTGACATCTTTATCCCAGCCCTGTTCAGCTCACCCTATGACCCTTTGACTCACACCTATCATGCTTTAGGCACTGTTGTGTGCTAAAGAGACAAATGGCACCTTCAGAGCTGTTTCTTCTGGTTGGGGCAGGGGATGACATGCAAGGCAACCATTTCAATAAACGGTGATAATTGATACAAGAGGCTATTGTGTGAGTACCAGGGAAAGGTCCTTAGCCCAACGTGGGTGTTTCAAGAAGGCATCCAAGAAGCGAAGAAATAGGGGACACATGTAAGTCCAAATATTTCCTCAATTGCCACAGTAAAATCTTTCTGTGTTCCCTCCCCTACCCTGACACCCAGCCACCTCCATCTTTTCTGAGATATCCCCTAACTGCATTTATTAAGAATGTATTGTTTCCACTGTCACCAGTTGAAGGCCTAACTGCCAAGCTTAATCTGTTCTTCCTGAAGTATCCGATATGAATCTATGTTCTTACTAAAAACAGCAGTCAAAAGATGTATCCTAGGTCTATGCATGATTTCCATATTTTTTTCCTCCTGGGAGACTGAAGAAAATATCCCTTCGAATCTCCATGGCTACTTCTGTGGAAGCTTGGGTGATCCTTGGAGGTATCCAATATAAAGATAGTCACATGAGAAGAGTCCCTAAGCATGATCTTCATTTATTTCCTTTTTAAAAATTTAATTTTTTAGACAGAGTCTCACTTTGTCACCCAGGCTGGAGGGCAGTGGTGCGATCTCGACTCACTGCAACCTCTACCTCCCGGGTTCAAGCAATTCTCCCGCTTCAGCCTCCCAAGTAGGTGGAATTATGGTGCCTGCCATCACATCTGGCTAATTTTTTATTTTTAGTAGAGATCGGGTTTCACCAGGTTGGCCAGGCTGATCTCGAACTACCGACCTCTTGGCCTTCCAAAGTGCTGGGATTATAGGCATAAGCCATTGTGCCCAACCATTCATCCATTTCCTTTGATGGTTTTTTCCTTCCATGTCTTGGTATTTTCTGAGTATCAGCTTCCACACAGCTGAAGAACATACGTTATGAAGAGGCCCCATTGTCTTCTGTCTCACATGCTAAATAGAAACCCCTTGGGACATTAATACCTGACTCCCCCTGGGGTAGGGACAATTGTGGGCCATGGTAGGATCATAGGAACAAGTGGAAAACCCTAGGCCAAACCAACCAACTCCTAATTGATTGCCGACCTCAACTGAATCAGACAGTGATGAATTAGAAAGTAAGGTCTACATAGCCGACGGAATTTTACTGTCTTAGGAAGACACTGGGTTTAAGGTAAGACTGGGCCTTAGTATTCTACCCATACTGGCCTGGATAGCTTACTTAACATCTGTAGACACAGTTTCCTTAAGAGGAGAATGAGGGATCTACCTGCCCCCAAAGGGTTGATAAAAGGTGAAGAAGGAAAATCCATGTAAGGTGACAACTTGGTCCATCGCATGACATGCATTCAGTGAACTGTACCTACTGTTCTCTAGGTTGATGTACTTAGGGACTTTATAACCACCTATACTCTTCTGGACATCCCCTTTTGCTTATGGTTGAGTACACAAGAGGACCCCATGCCTCTCCCTCTATGCATTGCTTATGGTTGAGTACACAAGAAGACCCTATGTCTCTCCCTCTATGCATCATTTTTCTTTGCTAGGGAGCACTTGAAGTTTCACAGACGTCCGTTTCCTTCAAGCCACAGAAATAGCTGAGGCACTTCCATTGCTTATGGAATATGTAGATTGGAAATACAGTACTAAGTAAGTAATAGTCACAGAGAGAGCAGAGTGGAGTTTTCCTTATTTCTCCTTGCATTTGATCCTGGAGTCAATTTGATTGTTCAGTTTGACTGAGAAGCTACAATGCCTGGTCTAGCTTCCTATGGCTCACATTTGGGAGGAATTATCCAAGAGGTAATTGCCATTCAGGAAGCTCACAAGCTGGTTATTTATGCATCAAGATAAAAAGTGGAAGCATTGGAGACAAACCCTATAGACTTAGTATCTCTAAGATTAGAAAACAGCAGCTAGACCCCAATCTCCTTCCTCAGAAAGGAGCTCCCTGAGTGCCTATTACGTACCAAGCATATTTCATGGGCGTACAATGGACTGCTCTAATGGATCATCACATGTGTTACTGTTTTTGAGATGGAGTCTCACTCTGTCACCCAGGCTGAAACGCAATGGTGTGATCTCAGCTCACTGCAACCTCCTCCTCCTGGGTTTGGGCAATTCTCCTGCCTGCAGTCTCCCAAGTAGCTAGGATTATAGGCATGAGCCACCATACCTGGCC